TTCTAAGCATCAGATTCAGTCTCCATCCATCAAACAATTTTTCCCCTTTTTAACCATCAGTTCTGTTGTAGACCCTTTGACTTGAGCAACAGTTTTGTTTGACAAACTACAAAACTTGATTTGATCTTTTAAAGACTCAATGTCACTTTTAGGCTATTGTTAGCTCTCAGAGTTTCATTGCCAGGCAGACAATAACAGGTATTTTTCAAGCTGAAAAGACTAGAGTCCAGGGATTATATAACTGGGAAAACAAAATGTGACCCACATCTAATGGCTCAGAAAGTAAATGTAAGAAAACAGTAATTATTTGTTGAGTCTCATTTTTAAGCCTATTTCAGGATCTTTTAAACATTGAGGGTTGAACAATTTGTATCACTGCCAATTCCTTAAAACAAAATTTGTCCTCTCTGCTGTTTCAATTATGCAAACTGCACTGTATCTACAGTCTTTACACTTTCAATCAAAGATCTTAATATCGAAACAGACAGGCAAGCAGCTTATCTCCCTGTGCTTTCTTTGAGCATTTATCACAAAAGGTTATTATTTCCATGGGACTGTGCAATTAGACTTCACCCTTTATTGACCTCTGTCATTCTTTGAATTAGCCATTATTTATGTTGTTACTAAATAGCTGCTTTTGAGTCTCATTTCATCTGCAGCTTCAGAGAACAGCTTATTCATCTAATTCAGTGGAACTTGGTCTTGCTTGCACCAAGAGAAAAGAAGAACTAGGACTTCTGTTTTCCAGCCTCTCCAGCAGGTGCAGGCAGGTCTCATCTTCTCTAAAGTCCATGGAAGTCAGTCACCCACAGAGACCTTCAGACAGGTAATGTGAGTCAGCTTCTCAGCTGTCTGACATCTGGTGAAATCAAAACTGACCACTGAAGTTAGGAACGTCAGAGGATCTCGCACATATGGGTAAGAGAAAGCCATGGAACAGCAGGAATCTGAGAAAGCCTTTGGAAGCCAACAGAATATGTGGCATAATGCATTGAACACGTGAATATTGCTGATGGCTTTTTTTTCTTCCTGTTCCCCTTTTGTTCCAAAATGATACTTGTACTGAGGTTTTCCTCTAGATTTCATAGTTCTCAGTCTTCTGTGTAATTGGAGCTAATACTTTTTCTTCAACTAACAATAATCCCCTAGCCACACTATTGGTTAAAGGCTCAGCCCAAGGAAGAAAACAGGGCTTGCCATTCAAATTAATATGAATGTGTTAGCATGCTTTTTTTTAAGTCTAGGGAGTGTTATTCTGGGAATGTGTTGCAATCTGATGCCAAATTTGGATTTAAATTCTGGGGACAACTTTACTGCTCATAATCTGACCTAGATGGTCCCAGATTGAGTGTATTTTAGAGATACAGGACTATATATTCCATGCAAATACTTATGTGAAAAGGAGATAATAGATCAAATGTTCCAGCATTAAAAAAAAAAAAAAAGAAAACAAATCGTAAAGAAAAACTCACCTAGAGGAAAAGCAGACAAATAGCTATAGAAGAGGGCTACTGACAGACAAGTTCAAAGCACAGTTTCAGATTTTCACTTGAAAAATTTTACACAGGGAATCTCTGATGATAGCTAAGCACATTTACCTCTGTACAGCACGGCACACTTGGTAAAGCAGTGCAATGCTTCTCTTCCTTCCTCTGAACCTCACATTTTCCACATCCTTAGCAACATGGATGTTATAGCACAAAAGCTTCAAATAAAGCCAGGGCATAGGGTCTGTGGAAGAGCACAGAGTGAAACAAGTCCCTCCACAGGCAACAGTTTGGAAACCAGTGCTGTACAGGTGAAATCTGCTTTTGCAGCTACTGCAGAGACTTCTGGTTTTGTGCAAAAAAAAGCCCAAAAAAAACCTCACAAAAACTTATCTGAAATACTATGCATAAAATTCATCGAGACATAGGTGATTTAAATGAAAGTTTGACTGAAGATCCACATTTATTTCCCTTGATCCAGTTTCATCCCCTGCACAGTAATTTGATTTTTATATTTTAACAGCAATAAGACATACTTCCTTTTAAATTAAATACTATCTATTTCCCCCTCAAGAATATTTCATCTTCTAAGGCTACAGTGATTCTGAAAACTTCACATTAAGTGTGAATCTGTTGCAGAAAACTCAAAATTACCTACTAGGAGAACCAAGCTTGTGAATTCCAGATGTAACTTCAGTCTACCCATATCTAGTGTGTTTAGAGGTTGGCTACTAAAACCCATTTAAGTAAGATGGTCTCCTTTTGCATTATATCTCTGCTTACTATTCATGGCCTGCTTGGGCAATACTCCGTTAAAATCCTGTTTAAAAGCCCCTGCTTTTTGAGATGACATTTTAATGCAGTCAGTGCTCATCTCCAGAGTTTTTCTATTAAAAAAAACCTGTGTCTGCTTTGAAGAGATAAAGCAAGAACACAGACAGGCTCCAAACCCCTCGTAAGGGGGCAGAGGTTCAACGCTAATGTTTCTGCTCTCTTTGCTTCTTCATTAAGTATTTTCTTAATTCAAAGCCCTTTTTGTTTTGCTTTTGTTTGACAGAAGCAAAGCATTTGATCTGCTACACCCTTTATACCTGGTCAGATATGAATCCTTCTCATCCTCCATCACCACAGGACTGCCTGCAATCCTCCTCAATCACTGGTTCTGCCTTGGAACCCATAGGGATTTCGCACAGCCTGAATTTCTATTAGTTCACACTGCATTTCCTCCCCCCACTCTCTGCCCACGCTTTGTCAGAAGATGTCTGTTGGCTTGCATTGACAAGGATATCAACAGCCCTGGGGAAACTCTTTTCCTGACCTTGTCTGTGCAAGGTGACACTTGACATGCTCAGTGCCACAGCCTAAGCACAGCTGGGCAACTGCTGCCCAAATGTGAATATTCGTGATAGATGAGTTTATTTAAAAGCTGTATCTGATACTGATGACTGGCTTAAAACACCTGCCTCTCCAGCATCACAAGAGAGCTGCCAGGCCAGTGAAACACCAACCATCACTCATCAGCAGGATCTGAAACTTGGCTAATAGTTAACTTTCTGACCTATTACTCTGTTTATGTGCCAAAGTATGAAAGATGAGGGGGGCACATTTTAGTCACCGGATGGCAAACATATGCCAAGATTTACTTGCACTTCTTGATGTTGTTGTCATTCCACTTGAACACAAACAGTTACATGGAGAATAAAAGAAAACCAGAGCTCCCTTGCACAGTGACTTTGCAGACACAGCCTTCTTTACAAGAGTCCTCCTACAAAACTTCTTTCATTCAGCAGCTAAACATCAGTGCTGATTGTGCATCAGGCACCAGGCTGGCATGTTGAAAGGTGATTCATTCCTCTTAGCATGGCACTAGAAGAGCCTGTCTCATTCTATATGCTTAATATAGAAGCACCTGGCTCAGCAAACTTGTGAATGGTTAAAGATAGCAAAGCTGAACCCTCAGCTCTGTGGCTTAGAACAGCCAGGGATACAAACCAGCTGTGTAAAAACCATTGCTGCTCTCCAGGAAATTTGTGAGACCTTGGCTTTCACAGCCAGACCCATTTTGCTCACCCACTTTACTAAGTGAAAGTAAGAGGGACAATTAAAGGAGCATCAGTACCTGGCAGGAGCAGGAGCACAGCAGCCAAAACATGAGCAGCCCCAAGAGGGAGCACCCAGACAGCTTGGGGACAGCAGGACCTTTGGAAGCTGAATGGCCAGCACGCCACCACCAGAGCAACCTGCTGATCGCACCTGTGGGCTGCAGGGATGATGGATGCCTCCCACCCATGGCAGCAGGATTCAGCTCCACTCTCCAAGGATGTGTCACAAATGCAGGAAATTAATTAGAACTAGGTCACGTTGCAAGATATCTGACTCTACTTGGCAAAATTTTCTTGAAATTTCTTGAAACTTCTTCAATCTCTATAATTATTGCCTTACACTCTTAAGGAAGAAACACTCCAAGTGACAGAAGTAATAAAAAATTGATTTGTGCTGAGTTTTTCCCTCCCAAAACAGAGCAAAATGTTTATAAAAAGCAGGTAGTAATAGTAATTTAATAAAATGAGTCCATAAAAAAAAAAATAAGCCCACAGCTTCTTTAGCATGCAGTGTACGCTTTAGCATGCAGTGTAACTTACGTAGGTAAGTTTAAAATGTTCATCTTAGGTTGTTTTTAACTCTGAGAAAGATGAAAGAAATTGCAATGCTCTACAGGAAAGGCCTAAGTATGGGGTTTTCCTTTAGATATATCTCTAAAATAAGCACAAAAATAAAACATTTTAAATGGATGTATTTTTAATTTATCAGCTAAAAGGAAGAATTAGGATCAGGTAATGGTAGTTAAATTCAATTAACAGAAAATTCTATCAAGTCTATCCAACTGAAAACTTTATGATCGAACATTCCTAAGCCACCTTCTTTCCATATGTCATAAACCTTACTTTTCCTAACAAAAAAAAAAAAAAAAAAAAGACAAAAAAGCCCCACAACCAACCAAAATGGCTAATAATGAAATCCAATCAAATCTTCTTTATTTTTAATGTGCTTATTGAATTTTATCTGTTTTATCACATAATTCCACTAAACTGATCGAAACTTTCAAAGAACCTATCAGCAGATTAAAACTGCTTCATGAATTAGATAAATAAGCATCTGAGAATTGTCTTTATCAGTCACTGCTTGTTCCCTTTTCTCTCCTATGTTTGCTCAGTACTAATAATTTAATCAGGAACACAATCCATTTATAGGAAATGGAAAAGATATGTGTTTCCACAGTGTCTAATTAAATAAAATTAAACACTACATTTTTTGGAAATTTTCTGCAACACTTGCAAGGAAATGTGTTCTTTTGCTCAACATTTCTTTTTCATAAATCTGTTGTAAACATTTTCTCACATTTGATTCATCTAAGACATGGAATGGCAAATCATTAATAATATCACCGCTACTAGTGTTACTTTCATTGTCTTGATGGATGTGACTGAATATCAAATCAATTTCAGAACCTACCTTAAATCTTCAAATCTTGAGTTTGTGAAAGCAGCTGCTGTGGAGAAGTTGGATTCTTTGAATTCTAAAAGAACAGAAGGAGCACAGAATTAAATAAAAGCAAAAGACTAACAAATGTTAAAGTTTCTAAAATGGCTGGGTAGAAGGTAAAAGGCAGTAAGACCTAAAGACAAAGCAGTTTATAGTTTGGCCAGACTGTTCTACTCATCATTACTGGTACCCCCTTAAAAACACTTAAATAAAGAGTTTCTGGTATCTGCTTTCTTTGTACACCACCAGAAATATAGGAGAACTGCTGATAATGAATATGAGACCTCAAAATTAACCTAGTTAGACTGGAAAATATCTTAGATCCTTATTAAAATCTTAAATTACAAAGAAATTTACCAAAATTATGCTCAGTAGAAAAGCAAAAATATATCATAAAAAACAGGAAACTTTAAAACTTATTTTCATTTCAAGTACAATCATGTATTTTTTGTAGTATGTTTAGCCAATCAGAATAGTCCTAATACTGCAATAAAAATAAATACAGTCGACCACAATTCCCTGCAACACCAAGAGTCTATGAGTGTGATTTTAAAACAGATTCCTAGTAATATGTAAGTACACAAAAAATAGTAAAGTCCAAAGTCAATACTGGAATTTACATCTTTATCAGAATTACTATTGCAAAGAGACTCCAAGTCTTTAATAGAATAAGAACCAAGACATGGTATTTCCATGTCTGAAAAGTCATGGTCTGATTTGGGATTTTAATTTCTTCAGCTTCACAGCCAATTAAAAACTTCTAGAGCTTTCAAAAATTATTTAGAGGTGAGATGAAGAGGCAATATGACCAGCACATATTTTACTTTTAGCTCTAAGACCATCCATAGTTTTCAAAAACATCTTAGAAGGAAGGAACATGGATAATATATGGAATGGAGTGGTCACACCAGTAGCTGCTAACAGCGCCAACTCAAACATCAGTTTGTTCCCATGGGCTGAGCAGCCAACTCAAACTGAAAATACCCCCAAACACAGGTTAAGAGATGATTCATCCAGGGGAGAGTTAGAAGGGATTTAGATACAGGCAGGAACGGCCAGCAGCAGTCAAGTAATTGACCCAGACATGCCTACATGTCTGCTACCTGAGGTGCAGCCTAAGTGATCTGAAGAAGCAGTTTCAATTTAAGAGCAGAGCCTAACAAAGACCAGAGACTGATAAGTTAGGAGCAGACACCAAGCGCAATGGCTCTTTTCCTCTAACCACTGCAGGCAAGTGAATGTCAGCAGAGTGAACAGCAGCCGCCTGAAGCTCTTGCGTTCAACCCTATTGTGCTGAAATGTCAAACAGGATCTTTGCCACTGGCATAAACATTTTAGAGAAGCTTCAGGGAATATACTAGAGTGCTTATATCTCTGCTGGTTCTCATCTTGCAACACAGGAAAGAAACAAACACAGACTGTGACTTGTAGCAAAGAGTAGGATTGCAGCTGTGAACAGATGAGGTTTGGGAAGGAGGGGAAAAAAAGTCAAGGTTTGAAAAATTACAGAAAGGTCAGTCAGATGCTTACCTTACACATGCAGTTCTTTCAAAACTAACCAGTGCCACACGGCACTCTTAAATATATAAATAACAGATTTGCCTCTGCATTTATAGTCTCATATCCAGAGTTCCCAAGGAGTTACAGAAGTCAGATGCGCAGAGAAGGGTGTGACACTAAGGCCCAACTCAGTGTTAAAAAAAGAACTACTTCTTTTTGGTTCTCTTTGTGCTTATCTGGATGGTGATCACATTAAATGGCAGAAGACAGTAAAAGGGCACTCCAGGCAAATCCTGTTTCAAAGCTTCTTGGCCTGTGGGAGATACTGCTCCTCAAGAAAGCATTCTTTAGGGAATCAGTGCTCCCCCCTCATAACCAAACCCAGTAAACTTTGAGGCACTGTACAATGCCTCATGCAGCCTTTGCAGAAGACACAGGTTCCCACAAATGTGAACCAATATAAATGATCAAAGTAATAAATGCAATACTCATAACCAAGAGGATAGCAAAGGGCAAATACTGCAGCAATGATCTGTATTTTCTCCACAAGGTGGGGTAGTCTTTGATTTAAAACTACTGTGATGTGCAGCTGCATATAGAGACTCCGTTCCCACTCCAGCACTTAGACAAGCTTTACCAAGAGGACAACGGATTACAAATATGCAAGCACATGTTTAGAAGGCAATGTGATGTCCTGAAAAGATAGCCAGCTTTGTTACTTTTTCATCCCTTGTAAAGAATGTACATAACTGTGGTAAGATTGCTGAGAGCTGTGAGTTAAATGGAGCTATATATAAAGCTAATACAAGTTGTGCTCTCACAATTTGAATTAAGTAGAGCGGAGTGCACAATGTGGCTAATTGCATTTATTCTTCCCATTATACTCACATATAATTTCATTTCATCTTAAGAGCTGTGTTGGAAAAATGTAAGACTATGCTAGTTTGTATTTTGTTGGCATTTATTTTATGAACTGCATTCTCAGACTACATTTTACTGCTGTCAAGAACCACAAAACCTTGGAGAGAAGCTGCACAGATTTTTTTTTTTCTTATTTTATGCTATTGTGGCACTGTAACAAAAAGTATTAAAATGGACAAACATTGCTTCTCCATTTAAGGTTTTGTACAATTGTTGCACAGCGAATGACACCCAAATAAATTCCTTTCCCCCACTTTAATTCTGGCAGATATAACAGATTGAGACACTGCTAGACAACTACTAGACTGAAGTAATTAAACAGTGTAATGTGCAAACAGCATTTTAGAGTCAGCAATTAGATCACTCAAATTGGATGTTTTATTTGCCCAAACATGTCTGTCAATCTCATCGAACAAAAGGCTTCATTTGCACACAATACAGCAGCAGACTCTCAAAGCCCTGGAGTGATGGAGCACTGCAGACCACTGCCTGCAGTCAGTGCCCCAAGAGATCCATCACACTGGGGCTTGGGCAAGACTGATAAACACCCCAGAGCCAGCCCAGCTCCCTGCATCTACAGTGGGCACTCAGATCGTGTGTGCAGGCTGTACCTCTGCCTGGATCACTACAGAGTTCTGAAGGAGGAAAAGAGAACCTTCAGGAGCACAGGATGATCTGATCAAATGTGTTTATTCATCTTTTGAAACATCTTTGAATTTTAAATTAGTCACGTGTTTCTGTAACATTCCTGTTCATGGCCTTGAAAGCTGAAGTCTTCAAGCCTAGTCAGAGGGAACACAGAGAAAAAGCAAAGTCCACAATGTGTTTTCTTGATTTTGTGGTTGTTATTGTGATATATTTGAGAGAACAGCATCATAATAAAAACAACATTCCACTGCATGCTCAGCTTCAGACCTCCTGCAGCGTACTAAAAAGAGGAAAACTGATATTCCCATGAGTCCTCTCTGTAGTTCATGTCCACTTATTATCTAAAAAATGGTGTAAGTCAATCCACTGTGTAACATACAAACCTTAAAAAAACTGCCACTTGACAGATCATAGCATCCATTATTTAACACTGAAAAATCCACACAATTAAGTTGTCTGTACAGCAGCACAGGAGACATGTCTTTTATATTCCACCTGTCTTTAATGACCAATGACCTTTGTTTCTCTTTCTCTCTCCTCAGGTTAAATCTTAAGGGATATATTTTTGTCATTATGCTCTCTGTGGAGGAAAGGCCACTTTCCAGAGAAAGCCAAAAATATTATCTGAGAGATCACAGAAAAACTTTCAATCCACTCCTTAACAACGCAATAGGAGCAATGCACACCCTGTATCTTAGATTAAAAAATCTCTCCCCTAATTAAATAGTGTAAAAATACATGCAGATATATTGTAAATAGTTTATCCTAATGCTGACATTAACTGCTCAACACATTGTCCATGTAAAACAGACTGAGACTGTGTATTGGTTTAAACACAAGTACCCAGCCAAACAAAAGAGCACAAAGCATTCAGAGACAGAATATTGCACCACCACAAAGCAGGAAAAAAAATTAAATTTTATGGTGGCCATGAAAACTTTTTATGAAACATTGTCAGAGCATTGTTGAGTCAGTAATAATATCCTGCTATTTACAATGTAACTCTATTCTCTCCTCAAGCCCCCAAACTGAAAATGTCCCACCTCTCCATAACTTTAGATAGCTGATAAAGGCACAGCCTGGGACATAAATCATGTCCATCATGTCAGCTTGGTGTGGATTTAAGATACAAAAGTCCCATCCAAATCACAAACAGCTTTTACACTGATTTCAGTGGGTTTGGAACTAGAACACTTCTCTTTAAATTTAAATTTATTTTGAATGACACAAGCTTCTAGGAACTGCAGCAATAAAAACAGCAGGAATAAATAATGGGATCATTTATAAATAAGAGTGTTGGAATTGCCTGTGGAAAGAAGTCTGCCTTTATTCCTTCTTTCCTGGGACAGGTAATAGCACTTGCCAAAGCAAAGCTTCAAAGAAAATCCTGTAGGAGAGAGGCAGGGGTTTTTTTGTGAGAATACTAAATCTAGAAGCACCATTCCTAAACCCTTACACACACACTCTAATAAGATCAAGGGCTGTAACATCCTTGCCTATAACTAGCACAGGTTGTGGAAACCCAGGGCACTGGGAATATTTCTTTGTCTGCTCTGGGGTGCCCTGACCCATGGAGAAAGTTTACTAGACTTCAAGATGGACTAGAATCCACAAAAGTGTGAAATAGATTATAGAGAGTAGTGTAGGTGTGTCACTTGGTGAGAAATTTAGGTTTTGGGATTTTTAATATGTTGGGGATGGAAGCAAGATGGGGAGCACAGGGTGTTGTCCTGAGTTTCTTCTTCATGCTTCTTCTTCCTTCCTCTTCATGGGTTTGGGTGGCATTCTGTAATTAGGCAGAAAAGCCTGCATTGCAGGATTTTTAGGATCAGTTATTGGATTAAAAGGGAAAATAATTTAGGTGTTAGCACTTAATTGGATAGTTTAGTCTTAAAAGACCTTGTAACAAGAGACTGTTAGTCATTTTGTGCCTTCTAATGAAAAGCCAAACTCACAGCTGTGAGACTGTTT